TTCAAGGGTAAAATAGTATTTTTGGGACATGGAAGGAATTTTTGAAAATGTCCAAGGGTAAAATAGTCATTTAGGGACATACATGGAATTTTTAGAAAAGATTAAGGGAAAAAAAGTAATTTAATGATTTCAAAAAAAGAAGAAGAATATATATATATATATATATATATATATATATATATATATTTTAAATATAGAATGAAGGTAGTTGTTTTAAAGATTTAGTAGTGTGTTGTGACGTGTGTGGGTCAGACTGAGTCTAAGAGCTGATGCCCAGAATCAGTCATGAGATTGTATGTATTGGCTACACTGAGCCGGAGGGTTGGTGCCCAGAATCAGTCAAGTACTATTATTTATTGACCCGAATGAGCTGTGAAGACAGGTGGTCCAGAATCCGGCAGATGTGAATGATTTTTGTTGTGTTTGAATGGTACCTAGGGTGGTACAAAGTACATTAGTGTAATAACTATGTCGGAGGATTCTGAATGAGGTCTCAGACTTCACTGGTTGATCGGGTCAGGTAGACTACAAGATCAGATGGTGAGAAGTCGATGGGGGATGACTGGTAGTGCACTCGGATGGGTACTCCATTATGAGTGATGAAGGGCGCCAGTAATCCTACTCTGTGTGAAGGGTGGTCAGAATGGTACTGCGAGTGCCGATCACAATGTGGGAGCAGATAAGGAGTTGAGAGGTGGAGATGCGACTACTGGACAACAGGGATAGTTCAGTGGGGTAGCTTTGTGTGAGCTATTTTTGTATGTATCTATATAAATAAATTATGTTACTATGTTCTGAGGTTCCGCTACTGAACCAGGATTTCAGTCTATATTACAATTACAGTAATATAATGTAATATAAATATTGTTATTTACTTGTTTACTATTTTACGAATGTATCATTATAGTAACGATTTCTATGGTAGTTACAGTTAACATGATTAAAATGGTTTACAATATAGAAGAATAGATTAATTTCTACTTCTTGTAGCTCCAAGCTATAACCAAGAATTGGAATTCATGTGTTATATAGTGATTAATGATAAGAGTAATTTTGGACTAAAGAGGAACTTCATTATTTTCCAAAAAAACAATTGTCATGAGAATTTAGTTATTTTCTTTACAATTTTTTTAATTCATATAGGTGTAAGCCGTTTAATTTTATATTATTTAGAGAAAACAAGTGAAAAAAATGATCAAGTTTGAAATAAAGGATTTTTTATTAAAAATTAAATTAAAATAAATACATTCAATAGTAAAAACATAAAATGTAAAACAAAATCATTCAAAAAATATATATAAATTATATTTTTAAATATTATTTAATTTATAATTATAAAACTTAAATTTGATAATTAAATATTGAATAAGACTTTTGTTTTAAAAGTCATCATAGTGAAATTTTTATATACAACCAATTTTTATTTTTCTAATTTGGCTTCTACGTTCTGTCATATTCCACTCTATAAAAACACTTTATTAAAAGATAACGAGTTAATAATTTTACAAGAAACCATAGAAAAAGACGCACACTAACACGTTAAGCAGAAAAAAAAATTGTAAGGTCACACAAATTGGCAAGCATCCACTGGATGATGTCGGGACACCCTAATTCAAGTTTGATGACCTTTCTAGAGATTGAAATTATTTTACTCTTTAAAATAATTAATAATAAAAAAAACTAGTTAGAATATTATGATTAGATTAATATCACTTTGTGCTATCTAATAATTGACAAGAATTATTAACCTATTGTTTAACCATGGCGATGGAGCAAATAAATAACATTTACATGTCATTAACAAACATAAACAAACAAGTGGCTAAGTAATTATAAAGGTCAATTTTTTACGCAGTGTGCCACTTGTGTTATTAGGTTGACCAAGAAATCTAGATGTCACCTTAATTAGTATTATGTTACGTGTCCCAAATACTGGAAATTTCAGTTAAAACTAAAAGTCAGAAGTGAACATACTTTCACAAATACATTAAAATTAATGACACCCAACATTTATATGTAGATCAAATTTATGGTAGCATCAAGTAAGGGTTACCAATCAATCACATAAATATCTATTCTATCAAACTCTAAATAATTCTACACATGCAATCACTATGTTCATACCATCAATCACGCTTTATGGTAGATGGTTTTCTCTCTGGTTTGGTAGCTTTTGCTTATTGATCTAACTTTCTTTTTCTCTTTGTGACCGACTGTGCTAAAATTTTCTTACTATATCACATGAATACAATGAAAAACAAAAATAGAATGAAACATTTGTTTTCTAACAAACTTATAATGAATTTATTCATTTCTTTCCGGTGGGACTGTGTAAAACAGAGAAGGATTTGTGTTTCACCCACTCCACAACCCAATTCTTATCCAAATCTATATTATTTTGTTTATGAGATGTAAACTATTCCAAGTGAGAGATAAGAGAGGAATCATTATTTTACTTTACTCTTCTTTCGTTGGAATTGGCCATGTCCCCACCCATGCATATAATAATAAAAAAAATATCTATCTATGTCTATAATTGCTTTAACTTGTTCTTCAAAATTCTTTGGCTGATCCCAACTTCTTTTTTGTTCCACCATCAACTTGCGTTATGCGTAGAGATATGAAAGTGTAACAAAGATAAAAAAAAAAAAAAAAAATTGCTTGGTGGCTGTGCTTGTTATTTTGTTTCATGCATATCTTCATGCCATGTTCACCTACCATCTTAGTTAAAACCTTTGCTTGTTCTCTACTTACCCGTGGAAGTTAGATCATGTGTGCTATATGCTTTCTCCAACCAGTCCCATCACTTTGAAAAATCTGATTAAATATATTCAAAGCAAAAATATAAAAATATTTGTGATTAATTTAAAATGTTGAAGTAATTAACCTTAGTTCTATTAAAATTAAAATGATGTGATTTTGCGTTTGGCCAAAAATGTCTTTTAAAAAATGCCGCCTATTTTGAGTGAACAATTGACGGGTGTTAAAGTTTTTCCAACACATGACATGACGTATATGATTGTTGATCGTACAAGGAGTTTAGTTTCCTTTACATTTTATTCTTTTATTTTTATCTTATTGTTTAGAATGACGATTCTTAATATTAATTTTTAATCTGAAAAGTTTTTATTTTGTATATGAATAATTTTTTAAAATAAAAGAGTCAACTCTAACCTAATTTAAATATAAAATTTTGTGGTCCTATTTTGTAAGAAATATTGCTTTACTACAAAATAATGAAACTGTAAAACAAAACAAGATATAATATAATATTTAGAAGATTGAGTGTGAATGAAGTTGGTACTTTAGTTATACGAAAGACAACAATTCCAAATAAAATGGTTAAAAGAGACCAATTCACATGGTATTAGACTGATAGAACATGATAAGATCATAATCCGATTATAACAAAATTTTCAAATTTAATGAACCTAATATACTATTTTGCACACAAAAAAAGTCAACCGAAATTAGACAATAATTCAACACAAAATATTGTTATTTAAAAAAGATTTTTAAATTGAAAATTTTAAATCAATCCACAAAACAAATGTCCAACAAAAATATTTTATTTATAAATAAAAAAATCTCCAGCAAACAAACTAATATATATATATATATATATATATATATATATATTAAAATAAAAAATTATATTATTTCATAAAAAGTAATTATTTATTTATTAATGTAAAATGAAATAAGTATAATTATTTCTTGAAAAATACATTTGAGAAAGGGAATAATAATGAAACATTCATCAATTCTACAGACTGCAAATATACCAGTACAAAACGATAGAAGAAAACAACGTTCTTTCTCTTATCAAACACCAATCATACCAGCAAAATATTAATAAATATAAGAAATGAATTTTTATAATACTATTTTTACGTATAAGCTTTATATTATTAAAAACGGAAAACTATATTACAAATTTCTATTTATTTTTTTAAAATACAAAATTAATAAAATTCTTTAGATAGCATACGTAGATTATCAAAATTGAAAGAGAATAATTATAAAATAATTTAATTTAAACACTCACTAAAATGATATTAATTAATAATTATCAAACTAACTAAAAATATATCATAATTGATAAATCTACTCAAATATAAAATATAATGCTCTCAAAAGACAAGTCAATTTGGCACAAAATCTAAACGCATATACATGTTAAGCATAGGATTCTTGGCTTTTTCTTAGGGGAAGGGTTCACACTATATATTTTAGTACTTAGCATTTTGTAATGCTTTCAAGAAAAATAAAAAGTGTCAAATAAAATAATAAACTACGTCAACTTAAAAATTAACCTAGCTATGGTGTATATAAATAAAGAAACTAATAATAAATTCAAAATATCACTTATATTCGAACATCATAATTAAGAAATATATTTTGTTTTTATTTATGTTAACTAATATATAATTTTTTAATTTATATTTATACAATCATTTAAATGATAAATACTAAATATTATTTTATTCAAGTTTTTTTCTTTTTATTGAATCAAATTTGTTTGGCCTGATTTATTTCAAGTAACTATTTGTAAAATTTGATTTGTTCCAACAATTAAAACACCATATCATATTAATTCCAATAAAAATGACAAATTTTACCAATCACAAGTTGATAGATTAACTCCTAAAACTTTGTTAATTCGGAAAATAAAAATTTGGAAGATATATATTTTTTTAAATATCAGTTTATACTAACAAATTCAAGTAACAAGCAAAAAAAATGTCGGAAAAATTCAAGGAAAAAAAGTTTTAAACCAAGATTATAATAAATTAATAGTACAGAATTAGCCTAACATAAAATCCATGTGAGTAATTAACTAAACAAAATGATATTGAGTTGCAGAAAATTGAAACACAGATATTTGTAGAGCCATTTTAGCTTGTGTGTGCATGAGCAGGTTGAGGCAAAGTGAGTGACAGGACATAACCCAATTTGATAAGTTTAAAATGAACAAAATGGATGATTGAAAGGTTGGTTTAATGGATGGTAAAAGCATGGTTTAAGACACTGTTGCACGGGAAATCGAAAGCACGAAGAACAAGACATGGTGGGTGGGGGGAGTGGATGGCGCTGTGAGCCTGTGAATTTGGTGGTCCCTTTGACCAGTCGTCGGCATCGAACCCATCATCTTCCACTCCCAAATACAGTCACAATTTCACAAATACACTTCCAAACGAAACCTATTCCTATTCCTCTTCCTTCTTCCTGCAACTTCGCCACTCCCAAATACCTATATCTCACACCCATTATTGGCGTTGCTTACGTGGCTGCACCAATCCTTATTAATATCACAATTTGACGTGTTGCCAAATACTAAATCATAATAACCAGTAACAAGTAAAATAGTCCCCATTATCATTAACTACAGAATTTAAAAAAAAAATAGAAAACCGACGCTTGTGATACGTGGTGGGTCCACTAGCCTTTCCTCTTTTCCAAACTCCAATATAAACCCCTCCACCTCTCTTCCCATTTGTTTCGCCGTTACAAACTTCCACCATCACTGCATACCCACAAACTTCTTATAATAGCAATCCACGACACATTCTCAACTCCACCACACTCACAATCCTTTGAATGCAATCAACGACAAGTTCAGGAACATGAGAACTCCATTTAAGCATGTCAAAAAGAAAAACAATCTCTTTGAATGTCTTCCTGATGATCTAGTAGTCTTCATTCTCTCTAAACTCAGCTCCACCGCTTCCTCGCCTTCGGAATTCATAAACACCGTCCTAACGTAAGTTTTTTCCCTTTTCTTTTTACATGCCATTCTAAGTCCCATGTTAATGTTCCTTATAAAACATAGTTTAGCTAGAATAAATCCTAATGTTCTTTGAAAAACAAACCAACCACAGATGCAAGAGATTAAACCAGTTAGGCCTGCATCGTCTGGTGTTATCCAAAGCTGGGCCTAAAGTGTTCGCTGTAAAGCCCAAAAATTGGTCGGAAAAGGCTCACGCTTTCCTTCGACACTGCGTTAGCGCCGGCAACGTTGATGCCTGTTACACTCTCGGAATGGTTAGTGCTTGGATATCAAATGAATTTTAAAAAAATTAATCTTTTGATTTATTTAATTAATTTTTATATATAAATATATTCGCAGATCCGATTCTACTGTCTGGGAAACAGAGGAAGCGGACTTTCGTTGATGGCGAAGGCGGCTATGAAGCTGCACGCGCCGGCTCTGTACTCGCTGGCGGTGGTACAGTTCAATGGCAGCGGCGGGTCCAAGCACGATAAAGATCTACGCGCGGGAGTGGCTTTGTCGGCGCGTGCATCGCTGCTCGGCCACATCGACGCGCTGCGGGAGTTGGGTCATTGTCTCCAGGACGGTTACGGCGTGCGGCAGAACGTTGCTGAGGGGAGGCGGATGCTGGTGCAGGCCAACGTGCGAGAGCTGGCTTATGTGTTACGCGAGGTGACTCCTTCTGCTTCCGATTCTCTGTTGCTGACGTGGCGAACAATGACGTGTCAAAGAGATATCACAGCGTGTCCTCTGTTGAGTGAGTACGGATACAGGGTTCCGGTACCGGAAGTGCAACCGGTGAATTGTTTTATGAGGGAGTGGTTTGAATCCGGTAAAGGGAAATTGGAGAAAGGATTGAGACTGTGCTCGCACATTGGATGTGGTCGACCGGAAACCCGCCCGCACGAGTTTCGCCGGTGCTCGGTTTGCGGGAAAGTTAATTATTGCTCACGTGGATGTCAAGCTATGGATTGGAAGTTAAAGCATAAGATGGAGTGTTCACCCACTGAACCGTATGGTGTAGACCTAGAAAACGAGTTTGTGATACCAAACGATGCCGTTTGAGAATGAGTTTCAGCCGACAAAAATACACAACGAGATGCGAAAACATAAAATAAAGAAAAAGATGGGACCATTAGTTTCTTCTACTGTGTACATATGGGGGCAATGTTTTTTTATTTATTTATATATATATATATATATTTTATAAACTAGTGGAACTTTTTTCTTTTTCATTTAAAAAATGGTTTTTCGTGTTAACTTTGCTAACCTGGTAAATGTTTCATAATTAATTAATTCATTCATTCATAGAAGGAGAATCCTGTTGAAATACATAAAATTTGGTTTTGTTTCATGTCTTTCAAGGTAGGAATCTTTTTCATGCTTTTTTTCTGAAGAAGCCTAGGTAACTTGAGATTAGGATTTCTTAATGAGATGGTTTTGTTTAAAACTGGAAAGTGGTGTTGGGTTTTGAATTGTGAATTGAGGCTGTAGAGACATGGGAATATTCATTAGTTTACTACTTATGAGGATGCAAAGAAGATTTGGGTGGGAATTTAGAATGATTAATTAGAAATAGAAAGAGTGTTGGAGAAAGGGACGGGGAAGAGAAAATAAGAAAGAAAAGGAGGTGATGGGTAGATTGTGGGGAAGGAAAAGGATTGAAAAGGAATAGCATAAAGTAGAAAATCCAAAAGCACGTTGGCGCTTGTGACTTCTCCGTTTCGTTGAGTATCTATTGAGTGGAGGGTGAGTACATCCATTAACTATTTTTGGTTCAAATTGCGCTTTCAAAAGAAAATCTGCGCCTAATTGGCTTCGCAGTTCCCCACGAATTAAGCTACAAGTTATTCATTTCCTCACTCCAATAAATCTCTTTACAAAACAACGCATTCTAATATTTATTCACGGTAAAACACGTGAACACCACGGAAAGATTATGCTATATATACATATTTACCAAATTCATTGATTTTGAAACTCAAACACAAGATATTGGTATCTGTCTATGCAAATAGTTTTTTATTGCTAACAAGAGTGGAGATGTGTGTTATTGATGTCACGTAGGTTTAAATTAGAAGTGGTGGAGTCATATGATATGATGCACGTGGTATACGATACCAACTACTCCTCCTCTAGAGCACAGTACTAGGTAGCATGATGTACATGTAACGACGCCAAGGGTGTTAGTTTTGGGAAAAAGGGTTGGACAAACATGGATGTTGAAAAGGGCATGGCAGTGTGAGATTTTCCGGAAGAGAAAGGCAAACACAGACAGCAGAGGTTCCACGTTGTTTACGTTATCGTTGTTGTCGCGACACCGCAGAGACACTTTCGAATTCAAAGCCCTCATTCATGACCATTTTGACGGGTCCTAATGCCCATCCATCCCAAGTTCCACATCGCTTAGCGTTAACCTCTTTCAATTATTGAACCCAGCTTAAAACACAAAAAATTTATTTATATTGTTTTATTTGTTTTTCTATTAATAAAAGGTTAAATCATTTCTTCCAATTCAGAAAATAAATTAATATAACTTTTTTAAAATTTAATCAGATTTTTTTAATATTTATTATATATAAATCAAAATAGTTAATATTTATTTGTTAATAATTTTACCGTACCTAATCCTATTATTGTGATTGTGCAAATTAAAAAAATGATTTAACATTTTATTAAGAATAAAACAAGTAAAATTAAAAAATTATTTAAGAAAATAAATATATCAATCCTGTTAACTGTAGAAAGTTAAAGACTTTTAAGTAATAAAATTTAGGGTTGGTAACACGATGTGAACAAATCTTGATGTTTAATTATTGTAATCTACTGATATACTTCTATGTTTATATGATTGATACGCTCTAGATGAATTTCATGATCTATTATTTAAAATTAAACAAAATAAAAAAGATTCAGTTTCATTTAGTTCATAAATATAATTTGGATGTTAAAAGAAAACCTCATTATAACCATGATTTGAGTATTGAATTTTTTAGATTCCATATTTTTTGTTTTTAACTTTATAATAATATAATCTTATATTATGTAAATCTTATATTGTTTTTAAATTTTATTATAGTTGTGATTAGGTGAACAATTAAATCAAACTATTTTAAGTATGATTAAATTGTTTTAATTCAGGAAATAAATTGAAAAAAAAACTAATCCAATATTTTCACCTTTCTAACAAAATTTAATTGAAAATATCTCTTAAACTAATATAATATGTAGACCCTAACTTATTAATTGGACCCTAACTACTCTTCTCATGGGTTTTATCTTTTAAGTCAAAAAGTTATTTTGATTTAAATAATTGGTCTCAGCCTCTCTTTTTTTTTCTTTTCTTTTTTTATTCTAGATGATTCTGGTAGTCACTGAAAGAATCAGGATAAACATATAAATAAATTTCATTATCAGTTAGGTGAAACCTTGTTAACTGAGAATTAATATTTTTTTTATGGATTTTATGTGAAGATAATTTACTAATTTAAATTATATTTTATTTACACTCAACAAAATATTATTTGATACATATATTCCAGTGAAATGAGTCATAAGATCTAAAAATATCTCAAGAATAATCACTGAAAAATAAATATAAATAGTGATAAGCAATGTTTTACACAATTTAATTATATCTTTAAGAATAATAAATGGAATATTTAAAATTGTTTTGGGTCTTCAATTTTAAAATTCATTTAATTAAATTATATTAGTTATATTTTCGTCATCTCATCTTTGATTTTAATTTACAGTAATATAATATTTCTAGGTGAATATGTATATAAAAATATAATATGTATTAATTTACCAAATAATCATTAAACCATACAAAAACATATATTTTATGCTTTTATCCCTACCGTAACAAAAATAATTATTATATGCTTAGTTTTAAGATAAATTTAACATATAACAAATAAAATATAAAGTGTTCTTTGATCCAATAATATATCAAATAAAAAAGCTTATACATTCTTAATATTTATTATCTTATACTTTATACTTTAGAGCAAATTATAAGTTTTTGAGAATAAAAAACTGATTTTTCTATAAATTAAAAATACTTTTAATTTGTATCACCTCTTTCAAATAATACCTCCAATATTTTGGGAAAAAAAAAACAAAGAGATAAAAAAACACATATATTCACATGATAAAAAAAATACAAAAATCAATGCATATTATGAAAATAAAATAAGGAGAATGAATTATGCGATTTTTTTTTCAATGAAGCACGAAAAGGTAGAAAATATATTTATCACACACTATTTACAAAATTTACATATATTGGATTATATTGCATGGTCGGAATTCAATTTTTAAAATATAATAATATTTATTAAATATAAAAATTATATATATATATATATATTTATATAAAGTGAATATATAAATATTATATATATATATATATTTTAATTATATAATTATATGAAATAAATATAAATATTTTTTTATATAACATAAAAATATATCTATATAATTATATTATTAATATATTTTTATAAATATAGTAAATACAAATATATTTAATATATATATATATATAAATATTTATTTATATTTTTATAAATGTAATAAAATTTAATATAATAAATACATATTTAAAAATATAAATATAATAAAATTTAATATAATAAATACATATTTATATTTTTGTTATATATATTATAACTTTATTAAATATTAATATATATATATATATATATTTATGTATTTAAATATTTAATAAAATTTATTTATTAAATATTTAAATACATAGTTATATATATATATATAATGAATTATTTATTTAATATAAAATAATTTTAGGAAATATAAATTATAATTTTCTAATTTTTTCATAGAAATATATGAATATTTGTAGTAGATATAAATACAGTTGTTATATATATATATATATATATATATTAAATATGTAAAATATTTGTTCATATTTTATACATAATAAATATATATATATATATATTTATGTATAATAAAAATATATTATAATTATATGTTTAATATATATATATATTATATACTTTTATAAATATATATATACTTTTATAAATATATATATATATATATATTTATATATTTGATAAATATATATATTTATACATTTAATAAATACATATTTATATTTTCTGATATATATATATATATATATATATATAATAATGTATGTTTTATATAATATTTAAGTATTTATTTAATAAAAAAGATGTTTAGTAAATAAATATAATATTATACAAAAAATAATTTTATTAATTTTTATACAATATAAAATAGATTTGGTATAAATGTTTATTTAAAATTCTATATAAATAGAAATTTGAATTAGATAATTTGAGTAAGATATACAATTTGAATTAAAGTAAATTGATATTTTAGATATTAAATCAATGAAATATGAATAAGCAAGTTAGAAAACTATAAATGAGTAGAATAATTATTTATTTATTGATTATAATCTCATATTACAAAACTACAATAGATTTATCTATGAGAAGTTGATCCCCTAAGATCAGGGTTATATGGACAATGATTTTTTTTGTGACCTGGAATGTGATAATAAGAATTGTGTGACCTTCTTCATGGATATCCATTTCAGTCCTAATTCGTGTTGACTTCAAACGACCCTTGAAACTTCTTCTTGTTGTTGGGTTGGGGCAAAGTTGTGGGCTTTGATGTGATGACCAATAATCTTCGTGTCTAAGCTCCCCAAACAAATTGTCATACACTTTGTTGACTACATCCAACCTATAAACAGGATTGATGTACATCTCATAATCATGGTGAGCCTGTTTGAACGCTGCAACCACATGGGAACATGATAGATGAAGTTTTTGGAACTTTCCACAATCACACCAAGTTTCATCTAGTTTAACAACAAAATTACCAGCAGGTCGAACTTCTCTTGGGTTGACGATCTCCTCCACCAAGAATCTTGTGCTGTTTCTATCGAATTCAAGCACCCTATGAGTGTTTGATTTTGTATAAATATCTTGTAAGACCTTTGATGCAACATCTGAATGGACATGACCAACATTAATCATTGTTGTGATTTGCCTCCC